GGGGGGATTGCAGGGGGAGGCAGGACCATGTGCTGCAGTCCCATAGGAGGGGGTAGGGGCGTGCTGCTGAATGTGCAGGTCCTGGGTGGCTATTCCTGGCAGCCCCCGCCTGCGCAGGCAGATTGGTTTGCAGGGAGGTGACAAGTGCCAGCCGAAGCCTATAAAAGTCTCCCAGCCTCTGATCTGGCTCAGTGACCTGGTTCCCCCCTCCCAGCACAGCAGTCACGGCGCAGAGTGGAGAGTGGAGACGCCTGGTGCAGAGCAGGGACCCCAGCTTCGGAGTCAAGATCCCAGATCTGGAGGAGACACCTTTGGTCTAGAGCAGGGACCCCAAAACAGAGCGGCGATCCCACAGCAGAGACCCCAAAACATCCTCTTTCCCAGCCCCCAGGCTTTGCAGCAATGACCGGCAAAACTGCACCTCCAGCCACAGACCCAGCTCCGGCGGCTCAAAAGAAAGAGCCAGTGCCAGCCCCAAAGGAAGAACCAGCACCAGCCCCAGCTGCTGAGGAGCCCCCTGCCCCTGAGCATCCCCCTGCCGCGGAGCAGCCCACAGCAGACGAGCCTGCTCCCGTCCCCACGGCAGAAGCAACTCCAGCCCCTGAAGAAGGTCCCCCAGCTCCCCCAGCTGAACCCCAAGCCCCAGCTCCTGAACCTAAGCCTGAGAAACCAAAGGCAGGTGAGGACAGGACCGGACACTGAAATGGGGAGGGGAGATAAGCAAGGCTGGGATGGGGCATGTTGGGGTGCCGGGGTGAAGGGACAGAGGGATGAAGTCATCAAGGATATTTTTGCAGTGGGATAGGGCTGGGGGATTAGGAGGATGGGCGGGCTGAAGACCAACATGGAGGGTGGGTGATTGCCCTCCAACAGCCCTGGTACTCGAGAGTCTGTCCTCACCACTGCGGGTTTGTTACAGAGCCGCCCAGCTCCCCCTTGTCCTTGGCCGTGGAAGAAGTGAGCGAAAACTCGGTTACGTTGACCTGGAAAGCCCCGGAGCAGACAGGCCACTCGGGCCTGGATGGATACGTGGTGGAGATCTGCAAAGATGGAAGTAGGCTTGGGCTTTCCTGCCTCGTAAGCATGGAGAGCTGGTGTGTTGCTGTGGAGGCATGGGACAGAGCTGGGCAAAACCTGGCAGCGCGTTTCCTCGGGCACCATTTCCCTTTCTTTGCCCAAATGAATTCATTTTAAATGGTCATTTTTTTTCAGTGGAGGAGAGGGGCTTCCCACTGGCTTCAGGTAGTAGTGATGTCTTTAGTGGGGGGCTGGACCAGGTTTAATGTCACTGCCATGTCCAGCTAGAGGATGGAGGAGAGACCAGCATACCCACTGAGGGTGGTCTCTGATGAGCTCCAGCTCTGCAGAGACCTGGGGTTGGGATGGTGATGCAAGACCTCATGAGGAAGAAGATGCAATTCTCACGTGTTTGCCCAAAATGAAGTGCAGAAGGAATGGGGATAAGGTGGGAGGATGAGGGAGGAAAGGATCCTGGGCAGTGCAAGAGGGACTGGCATGCGCCAGCAGGCAAGCCCTGCCCAAGCAAGATGGGGCTCGAGGTGCCTGGAAGGAGGATGGCCGTGGTGGATGGAGGTGGGCTGGTGGGTGGCAACAATTATTGGTGGTTCTTCAGTTGCATTGCTGGTTGGTGGAATGGGGTAGGTGGACAAGACTTGTGTTTTGTGCACTCTCTTGAAGCCCTGCTTGGCTTTGGGGTGAGAGTGAATGACCTGTGTGGCTGAGGGGATCTGCAAGGGGAGGCTGAGGCTGGTGGACTGGGTGCTGCATAAGGCTGGAGTGGTTTGGGAGACCCAGGTGGTCCGTGGGCCTTGGGAAACTTGATCTATGACCCTTGGCTGTTTAGCTCGTGGCAGGCACGATCAACACATGCTTGGCTGTGGGAGGCTTTCATCACTGGGCTGCGGATTGGGGAGGTAACCATGGATGGATGGGATGTGTGAGGAGGCCCTTGTGTGGGACAAGGAAAGATGCAACCATTCCTGGAGGGTGCTGGCTGACAGCCACCCAAAGGTCACAGTTTTGGAAGCTCTCCTAGCTTGCTTTGGGCTTGGCTGGGTGACAGGAGAGCTCTAGTCATTCAGTGATAACCACATGGGCTCCGTGACTGCTGTATTTGCGCTGGGACAAGACCCTGGTTGGCTAAAATATGGTGAGATTTGAGTGAGGGCTGGTTTGAGTA